ATCTGAGTAAACAATAGTCATAGGCTATTAATTTGACCGTTAGCCAGAAAATTCTTTGTAGCAAACGGAGAATTCTCCGATCTTCGATGCCTAATGAACACCCTGAACATTTAACACTTTATAATACCTTTAATATTATTAAAAAGCGAACTCTTTTGGGTTCCACTTTTAGGTTTGATATTGATCAGGAAAATGGCCAGGAATCAGACTAGCTGCAAGCATGCCTTTATCAGCAACTGGAAATTTCCAGGGCAAAGGGTAAGTAATAACATGGCGTTACCTTTCACTTTTTAGACCTTTCAGTGAAATATGTCCATGGTTTATTGCATTCATTACGTCTTGTTGCATAACCGTTTTCAAAGCATCTCCTTTAATGCAGAACAAGAATGCAAAATGTTAACAATGAACCCACTGGTAATAAATAGTCAAGTACTGCTATAAATGCATCAGCTTTTTCTGTCAAACATTGTCAAATTATGGATTTTTTTGTGTAGTATTTTATGGTATGGCTTGGTTATGTGATAAACTTGAAAAAGAGAACACATGCCAAGAATAATAGCATGTAAATAAATAATCCTAACGAAAATAGCCAAAATAGCTTTAAGCAACTGTGCTGGTAGCTTACCAGAATACCGCTCCATGAGAACTGGTCGTGATGTCGTCGGTGCAAGGATGAACACCTCTGTTTGAGGGCTACTCGAGCCAAATTTATCTGAGACTGCAAATTTGAGATAATTATGTGATAAATATAGGCAATAACGTATGTAACATAATTAATAATATTATGACTGAAATTAATGTGAATAACTGACGTGCAGGCAAGGATTATCATAGTTAGTATAGTTGAAACAAATAGAAAGATGCTTTTTAGGATTTGAACTAGTGCTAAGATTTGTCTTTACTCGACACCACTTCTCACTTCAACAGGACTTCTCCAAATGTTGTGGTTATATGTACCTTTATTTTAATATTTACCTTGTCTGGCACTTTTTGTCCCCCATTTGGCAGTCCAAAAATATATGTTGGGGGTATTCCCCAAAAAGCTGAGCATTCTACGAAATGATGAAATTAAAACACAATATCAATAAATTAAAAACTACACAAACTAATAAAATGTATATTGGTCAAGAGCCCACCACATGACCTGCAAATAACTGCCTTTAATTAATGGTCTGCTCATGCACAATGTTGTCCAACTTTGTTTGGCTGCAAATAATATTCTGCTCATGCGTAAATGAACCACGCTTTTCTCCTTCTTGGGATCGCTCTTGTGTGCAAAAATGGCAGATTGCTTCGCTTCCGAAGATATTATATCATTAAAGAACAAACTCACAAAATATTGTGATTTGTCAGTGTCTCGCAGACAAATCACGATATTTTCCCTAACCTCATCCAATAATTGTTAAATATTATTAACGAAATTCAAATCTGAAACCAAAGTACAAACTTTTTAGCTAACATGAAGACCACATTCTTTTATAACAGGGAGTATTTCTGGGCAAGGATATAGGAAGATATGAGTAACAATTTTCCTCACTTTTTCAGAGAATTAATTTCCCATCGAGGGGTAGGGAGAAACTTCTTGTGTGTGCAATAAAAAAAAATTCTGTTCTTTTTAGTTTAGATATGTGTTCCCTTGTTACCAAAGTTAGCATTCTTATAATACATACCTGCGCACAGGGTCAAGGTCATCCCCTTCTTTGATGACCACACATACTATTACGTGTTCATCAGCCCTCCCTTGGTGGCACATCTACATGTAAAAGACATTTAAGAACGTTGTCATCTGCTCATATTGAATTGCTGTATAATTTCATCTGGAGTGGATAACTAGACCCATTCTGCTACTTTTGAAACTGTTGCTAGGGAGAAGTCTGCAAGTTATAAATTATGGACACAACTGCTTTGACAAAATGTGGAGGGTGGCCCTAAATTGACCACTTGCTTCTGACTGTTTTGCCATGATTCGTACACAATACTTTAATTATTGGCCCTCATGCTATCAAATGGATAAAGATAACTGTAAACTCAAGGCAAATAGAGACGTCTTGGGAAGACCATAAATTGAAAGCAAACCTCATCAAATAGCAGATTTAAAAACACTGGCATCGGTTTGTAAATATTTCCATCCAGGAGCTTCCTCTCACAGTCAATAACTTCCTGGAACCTGTCCATTTTACCAAGTGGCACTAGATACGTAGATACAAAAATATTATATTAATTACATCACTTTTAGAAAGAAGATTGGGAAGTGTGTTCACCCTTTAAGAACCAATATCCACATACCACAATTGTCCCAACTGATCTCTCTTATTTAATTTCCTTAAGAAATAAGAACTGGACTAATAAAAAATGGACTAAGAAAAAAAAAGAGAGGCTGCTCGTAGTCTATAATTTCCTCTTCAAGCAGAACTTAACATGGCTCATGTTTTTCTCTTGAACGAGCACCCCTTGCCTTTTTCACCTTGCTCCCATAACAGCTACTGATTGGTCACTAATATTCACTGAACAAAAAAAGAAAGGATTTGATCCATCATTAAATTGCATTACACATTGACCAGCAAGGACATACCTTTTCCTTTTCTGGAATCTAGAGTCCCCAGTGGATTAAGATCTTCCACAATATCCCCCACTAAAAATCAAATGACATTATAAAAAAAAATTCAGAGATCAATAAGTTCTCAATGAAACAAAACAAAACAAGGGATTTCCAGTATGGATTGTGTGTCATACCTGTTTCAGGGGGCTCTCTGGAAGCTGACAGGTGTTCATCTATTCATTGAAACAGAAAACATTGAATAATATTAATATGGATACCAATAATTTTTTTTTTTTTGGATGCCTGTACAGACATGGGGGTAATCGGTATCAAATGTTTCCAGATAATAATTTTGGCATATGGCCCCTGAACAACATAACAACATTATTATAACAATTATCATAATATGTTGTTTAGGGAAAAAATATACAGTATATAATTATAGTGTCTATTCCTAAACATAATTTGTCAAATACATGTATATATTTTAAAAGGACTGGCGAAAATGCATTACACCCAAAGCTTTTAGTACTGGTATTGCCCACCTACACACTGGGAAATTATTGATTTAAAGGGACTCTGAAAAGTGCATTCCTGTGAAATTGGAGCGACCATTTAGATGACTTCATGATGATTTCCATGATGTCATAGTCCTGGCGCAAGTACTGGAATTGCAAACAGTGGGCTGTTATATCAGACTGGAATATCAGAATGGAATACATAATTATATGTAATACCGATCGACGATCAACAGGATCAATCTCTACAACTTCAGAGGGACCGAGTGTCGGAGTGACCTCTATAATCTCATCAAAGGGACTGTGAAGCAAATCGTCATCTGTAGAAATCAACAGACATGTCATAAAAGATAATGCGACCACAAGCAAAATAATTATACTCCAAACAGATTGACCATCATAGATGATCTAATTGATGACCCCCCTCAACTGAATTCCTCTACTCCAATTTAAAACTAACCCCACCCCCTATGATATTAAGTTTGTATCAGGTTGCTCCTCTCTAATAAAAATCCTCTGTTTCATTCAAGCATTAATTGCACCCCATATACATGTAACATACACATGTATGACATATACATGTGACATTCACGTTACAAACCTGGGAAATGGAAAATGGAGAAAAATCCTTCAATTTCTGTTCTTTCTTGAATGATTAATAAGGCTTGGCATATTCAGTCTTGTTCAATGTTAAGTCCATGCAATAATATTATTGGATAGAAATAATAAAAATAATTATTATTTTAGTATTCTTCCAGTTGATGTAGTTTGTGTGTGCCACACACCTTATTTACTTATTTAACTGACATGTGTATTTAAGAAAGTTGCGTCCGATAGCCCGGGCCTAGTGGATTTTGCAATCGGGATATATTGCTAGTGAATTCTGTTCATAACTTGCCCAAAGGGCAAGTGAAATTTTTTGGAGGAAATTCAAATTACAGAAGAACTATAACAAATGCTGCTTTTGAAAACATTTTTGGGCTAGTTAAAAAGACTCTTGGGCTAGTACATATATACTAGCAGCAACTTGCCCCAATGGTAAGCCGTAAAACTGACTTTCTTTGCACCCTTCCTTTGAATATTATTCTTTATCGACATCTCCCCACAGGGGTTTTCCCGTAACAGGTTACAAATAAAAGTTTTAAACAAACTGTGAATGGTAAGAAATATGGAAATTATATACATGTAAGGGAATAAGCTGATAAATAAGTTGTGCTCACCATCATTTTCATTATTGATACCAGCTAATATAAGGTGGCTAGGTACCTTCTTGTTGATGCTACAGTGAAAAAATAAGAGGGAATTTCTTTTTTTGTTGCTTTCCACATAATTATTACTGTTTTATTAGTATTCGCTCACAATTATTTTCTACTTCATTATTCACTCTTGTCGCATGAGTACTTAGTGATCAATGCTTGGAATGATCAAACCAAGGTTTCACAATAAAGGTGTTTCTCTAGATTTGAAAACAATGTTTTTTCTGTGGTAATCACCCTCTACAAATTAATGTAACAGTAATATTATAATAGAGATGTCTGTTGCATTTATTCTAACCACGTATTTCATTTCTTTTTATTTCCCCTTCTCTTTTTCCTTTTTTTTCTTGTACTGCAATAAAGCTTTTGCTTGAATTGGGTAATAAAGCTTTTGTTAAAATTAAATTAACCAACTTACGTCCATCTCTAGGAGCTGTATTGCCAGCTGCAATTGGACCTATAGTCGGGCTTGATGATGCTTTAATATGTAAGATAAAGTAAAGATGCTCTTAAGTAAAAATGTATATTAATTTACATGTAATAATCACTAATAATCATTAAAACAATAAAAGATAGAAGATTGATGCATTTTTTCTTATATGTAGGTGACCATCTGATTGATGTGCATAACATCTTTTTTAATTGTGTATTTTATATTAAAATGTTGAAAGAAAATTAATGTTGGTCACTCTTGAGACTACAGGGTTCCAATTAATGAAATGGATGCGTAACATACTATAAAGTTCATGATAAAGACCCAGTGGGATGGCTGAAACATTGTGTAGTTAAATCACATTTTCACTTGAGTTTGTTTCCTGAGAAGTACATTTTCTTTTTTTTCTGGTTTTCAGGATTCTGTACTTTACACCGCAGATGCATTATCAGTGAATTCTCACTTTGATCTGCCTGGGACCTGACATTAAGTGTTTTTTCTTTGTTTTTTTTTTTTGTTGTTGTTTTTTTTTTGGCCAAGGCCGGTGGGGGAGCATGCATACCTGTTGGCATGAAAGAGACTGTGTTGAAGCTTGAATGAGAAGGAACTGTTAGTGGTGGAGGCAGCAGAAGATGTTGTCAGCAAGCTTGGATGAGAAGAAACAGTGGTGGAAGTAGCAGAAGATGTTGCCAGCAAGCTTGGATGCGAAGAAACAGTGGTGGAAGTAGCAGGAGATGTTGCCAGTTAGCTAGAATGAGACAAAACATTGGTGGAAGTAACAGAAGATGTTGCCAGCAAGCTTGGATGCGAAGAAACAGTGGTGGAAGTAGCAGGAGATGTTGCCAGTAAGCTAGAATGAGACAAAACATTGGTGGAAGTAACAGAAGATGTTGCCAGCAAGCTTGGATGCGAAGAAACAGTGGTGGAAGTAGCAGGAGATGTTGCCAGTAAGCTAGAATGAGACAAAACATTGGTGGAAGTAACAGAAGATGTTGCCAGCAAGCTTGGATGCGAAGAAACAGTGGTGGAAGTAGCAGGAGATGTTGCCAGTAAGCTAGAATGAGACAAAACATTGGTGGAAGTAACAGAAGATGTTGCCAGCAAGCTTGGATGCGAAGAAACAGTGGTGGAAGTAGCAGGAGATGTTGCCAGTAAGCTAGAATGAGACAAAACATTGGTGGAAGTAACAGAAGATGTTGCCAGCAAGCTTGGATGCGAAGAAACAGTGGTGGAAGTAGCAGGAGATGTTGCCAGTAAGCTAGAATGAGACAAAACATTGGTGGAAGTAACAGAAGATGTTGCCAGCAAGCTTGGATGCGAAGAAACAGTGGTGGAAGTAGCAGGAGATGTTGCCAGTAAGCTAGAATGAGACAAAACATTGGTGGAGGTTGCAGAAGATGTTGCCAGCAAGCTTGGATGCGAAGAAACAGTGGTGGAAGTAGCAGGAGATATTGCTAGTAAGCTTGAATGGGAAGATTGGCCAGTTGAGGTGGAAGCAGCAGTTGCGGGAGCAGAAAAGGTTGCTGATGTACTTGGTTGGGATGGAGATCCAGAACTGGTAGATGTATCTGTACAGCACACAAAATAAAAAATGAAGGTGAGTTTTGAAAACGGGTGGTCAGATTTAGGAAAAAATGACCTCTACAACAAAAGGAATGAACAAACCCCAAATTAACCAAGAAAGTGACTGTCGAAAATTAATCAAAATACTCAGAGGCATACAGTGGAACCTCTATTCAAGGGAAACATCCATACATCCATATTCATGTACGTGTCATCTTTTTAAACACTTCAATTCAGGGAAAGAGACATTTTTCCAGGTCCCGAATCCTGGGTTTTACCTCTGTTCAGGGGACAACTTAGCAGTCGAAAAGTACTTGACCATAAAAAGTGTTAATAAGTTTAAGTGTACACAGACTCACAATGAGTTTCACAATATTAACATAAACTGTCTCACAAGGTGGCTGGATA